TTTCTAAGGGCCAATCTCGGTATGTAAACAGCATCGTGCCAGATGACGAGACTTGACTGTACTATTATGACGTGCCTACCAAGACCCAAAACAAAGTTTGGATTTTTGAAGATGAGACACCCGTCGCTGTCCGAAAATCTCGATCTAAAAAGAAGAAAATGATAGCTGTATTTTTCAAATCGAGTGGAATTGTGGAACATGTTGTTTTGGAGACACAGAAGACAGTCACAGCTAGGTGGTACGCTGAACAGTGCCTGCCAAAAGTCATTCAATCGTTGAAGAACCTGCGGCCAAATTCACGAATGGACACTTGGTCCCTCCATCATGACAACGCTCCAGCTCGCCGCGCCAAAGCCTGCACGGAATATTTGACCACTACAGGACTGAAACTTCTTGAGCACCCTCCTTGCAGCCCAGACCTCGCTCCTTGTGACTTTGCACTGTTTCCGCATGTGAAAATGAAGCTGAAAGGAATGCGGTTTTCCAGTGGTGAGGACCTTCTGAGGGCTTGGGACGAGTGTGCCTTACTCCTTAGTGAAACTTGGGAAAACTGATTTAGGAATTGGTTTCGGAGGATGGAAAGATGCATTGAATGTGGCGGAAATTACTTTGAAGAAATTAAATAAATAAAGCGTTATTGCAAAACTTTCCTAGTACCATTTGTACGTCCCCCTGTATTGTATAGAATTTGTTGGCAGCCGACGAAGACATGACGTAGGCAACTCTCTGCGGGAGGTACTAGGCGATTACGATTCCGCTCTCTCGAACCATGCTTTTGAGAGAAAGTGGAAAATATAATTTTATTTGAGATTTAACTTCAAAATTCGAGACAGATTTTTGTCTCGGACAAATTTTGCACAAAATTAGCTGTTTAAAAAATGCCCTGTGCAACTCCCGAGTTGCACAGCGTGGGCAGCTAGTAGGCATAAACCGGTTCAGCGGCGCGTCCATGGGGTTTAATGTGAAGGCTGCAATTTATTGTCCGAATAATATTTTCTGTCCACTTGACAACTGGGAGTTGAGGGAGAGCAATGTTGCCACTTACTCGGGTGGCAGACACGTGGTCCTTCTTGCGTCAGATCAGCTGTTGAGGTCCAACTTATTGTGTTTATAGTAGAATTGTAATGACATTATTTTATTTGATGAAGTATTGTTACACCAATTTATCGCAATCTCTTACACTAATCCTGCCAATGCGTGAATAACGAAACATCTTGGCATAACACGCACAAGGCAGATGAAAATAAGGTCGCGAGACGCGTTTTTAGAAGGAAGATGCAGAGTATTCTGAAAGACTTGTAAGAAAAAAGTATTTAACCTCGAGACATTCTTAGAGTACATACTCTTCACGTAACGTTCAAAATTGCAAAAAGTTGCAGGACTTTTTGAAGTTTCTTAATTTACCTGTAATTTACAAGGTTTTCAAGGTGGCTTCCTACCGAATGCATTGGCGCAAAGATACAAATTAGAAATAGCTGTTAAGGTGGATGTATGTACATTGTCTCATAAGTATATTCAGTGCTTGATTTATAAAATTTGACGTTCCGGAACGCGCCCCAAAATAATTATTCCTGGGGTTCCGGAACGCCGTCCTGTCGCGTTACGCCAGAAACCAACCATCAAGTATTGTCGCTACTGGCTGTGATTTATAGACAATAAAAACAGAAATATGCTCATATATATGTAATGTAATGTGTCAGTGTAAAAATAAATTAAAAGTGTAATGTGGAAAATGCAGCAAAAAAAAGGATACAGAAATCATATAAATTGTTACAAGCTACAAACATTAAGTTAAGGGCTTAATTTTGAAGAACTCATTTCTTAAGAAAATAATGGGAGATGCAGTTAATGTACATTTCATAAAAAAATATAGATATTACAACAAAAACATGAATTCCTCTCAATTCATGACAAATTCACGGGCCTGCCTCTTTTGACACCACTCCAGCTTTGCGCCGTGTGTGAGCATAGGCGCTCGGCGGATGCACATTTTATTTCGACTGATACTGCCAATGACAGGTCTTAGCGTGCTTCTCTAGCGACTTCGTACGAGTCAGGCAACGCTGATCCGTTAGTACGCCAACGTAAACAATTCCTTGGAAGCCCATAGCTTCAGAGAAGTACACATGATGTATCATAGCAAGTGTCGAGAGAACTCCAGAGCCGCTTACACGGTGGCGGAACTGTAACTTTTGGACTTGTTTTCGCGGTTGAGGGGTGAATATGCAATAAAAACAAGCAAATATTGCCCAAATATGCAAAAATATTCAAATAGGGTGATATATGCGAAATAAAAATTGGTTAAATCGATGCCTCAAAACGTATACAATTTGTTGAAACGAAATGTTTTAGTTAACAATAAAAATGCAAATGCATATAAATCCCAGTCCCAGCCACTGCATAAAGTAACCTAATAACATATAACTTACAGACGACACAAATCCGCACACACTGCGCACAACCAAACACGTAATGACGCTCGGGGCTCTTCAATTTTCAATTGCTTCGTGGTTGTGACATCATAATTTGAAGCCTGATTGGATAACGGAACCCCCTCCCCCCTGTCGGCCGTGAGCCGTCACGTAGGCAGAAGTATTATTCGCAGTAGAGAGCTTGATCTGCTGGCGGTGGCGCGAGTTCCTCGCCGAATGCCACAGCAGCGCCACTACTCCGCTTGTGTGAATACCTACTTTCATTTAAACCAATGCTTTGCCAGCAGACGCTGGTGGGTTTTAGTCACACTGGGCAGTACGAGCTGCCTAATGACCGAAGATATCCGCATATCCTCGTAAAACATGCAGGCTTAAAAAACAGCACTTTTTCAGTATCAGGAGTCCTCAAACTTTTTTCCAGGTCAAAATCCCGATATCGATCTTAGAAGCATTACAAAACTATATTACATACGCGACACTTAAAAATGTAATATTGAGTTCTCTCCTCTTTACAGTACAAGAATAAACAAATCCAAAAAGCAATTCTCTCACACGGTCTAGACGTAACGAGAAAATCTTATCATTTCTAAACATCAGAAACTGCCATTTTTCACATGGTCACATTCTTCCTAATGGTCTGACGTAGCTAAAAATACTTTCACTTTCTTGTATTCGTACGTGTTCAGGATGCGAAATATTGGAAGCGCTCTTGAAGAAATTGTGCCAAGGAAAACGGATATTCGCTCGTCTGCGCTTTGGTCATAAAAGAAGACTGAAACGAACGGTATCCAGACTGTTAGCATACCTCCATTTACCATTTATAAGACCTGTTATAAGTAATTATGAAGTATTCGAAGTCTTCGTTGGAGTAATTTTTCTTTCTACCGTTAGGAAACCGAAAAATTGTAAACATTAAAAAAATGTATTTAATGCGGTGATAGATGACAGTCGCCAAGAGGATCTGGGCTAGCCCACATCAAGGAAATTAGAAAATTTGTCTACAAGAAAGTCTGTAGACACACTAAGAATGTAGCACTTAAGTTTTTAAAGTTGCTGATTAATGTTCTGTGTCCTTATAATTTGACATGTGCACCTGTAACTATAGACCTGTAAGTGTCCTCAAATCCTCCTTAATCATAATCGTCCAATTATTTGAATGTGTAGCGTTGCAAATACATTGATTGTTAATGTAGCCACACTTGTGTAATTTGTAGTTGTTCAGATTCATGGGGTCAGTACTGAAAAATACATTAATTGGTAATTTTCATTGCAATGGTAAATGATACTTTACATATGTACAGTATTATTTATAATTCATTTGTTATTTTAAAAACTGTGCCAATTATTGTGTAGGTGTATGATTTTAATTTACTTTGTCATGTGGAATATAGTATTTACGTTGACAAGTCTTCCTTCAACTTGAGGTTTAAGTATTGTACAAGCATTTTATTAGGTACACAGAAGTGAAGTTTCTTACATTGTTTATTTTGTTCTGTTTTTAGAACTTGGGAAATTTTTACAACATAAGAGAGAATTGGCGCTGAAAAAATTAAAGAGCGACCATTTACAGTATTTATATGATAATGAAATAATAAATACAGGCAGTACTAGAAAGTCGCAAAGTAGATTTTCACGCAAACCTATCATCAGCATCCCAACATTGCATGGAGGTTAGTATGGTGAGCATGTGTGTGCATTTGTATTTGTGATTTTCAAATGAAACGGCTCAAATGCAACTTTTATGTAACATTCTGAGTTACATAACTGTTGATGCATCAAAATATATAACTTTAAGCTGAAGTACTGTAGCAAAAGTACAAAGTTGCCATCTCACATTCACAGATTTAATTACAGATCCAACTGAAGTAAATTCCAAACCCCAGTATATGCCTTCTCCTTCAAGCCAAGTACGCCATTACCTGAAAGAACTACAAAGGAAACGTGCACTGCAGAAAACGGTGGAAAAATGCAGAGAAAACTACATGCTTCAGTCTTCTGTTGTTCCACAAAACTCTGGGAGCAATGCAAATAGTTTACCAAACAGTGTTCATGATCATAAAAAAGCTACCAACTCCGAAGATTCTAAGAGGGATTTACAGTTACGAATGTAAGTATTTGTTAAAGATGTTATAATAAATAATTGCTGTAAAGAATTAGAAAATTGTGTCAGTATGACTATTCTTGGTGTTTCATTGAAATATGTGGTATAATCCCCTCATCTGTCTCCCTTTTCTCAATTTTTAACCCCTTCACAATGCCAAACTTTGCATTTTTATACAGTAATATAGTGTATGTGTACGGGGCTAGAGGTAAAGTGAAACCTGACTAGTAAAAATTGGCCAAAATTGTCCCTGAATAAAGGTGTCTATTTAATCAAGGTTATGAGGTTAGTGGAAGCCCAAATCAAATCTAATAATGTTAATTGGTCTGAAATGAAATGTGTTTTCTTTGATTTTTATTTGACAAAATACATCTTAAATGAGATACTTATGATCATTTCATCCTTTCAACTAATTTAAAAACATACCCATATCACTTATTATTTGAAAAGAAAAATTCACTTTCTGTCCTCATCGAATTAATCAAGAAAACTAGTCCTGAAGATGCAATTTATATCCATAGCGCAGCCAAATTAGACAAATTAAGTGAAAATCATTCCGGAGGTTTGAAATTTGATGTGATTGTTCTATGATAGGTAGTGCTCAACATACTAAAGCTCCTGAAGTAGAGTGAGCTGCTTAAAGGTGTTTTTTCTATGGTTTCTGCGTATATATTCATAACTATCAATCCTACCGAAAATTATGTTCATTAAAGGAGAGTCAATTTCCTACAAAAATGTTCCAAATAGGTTTGGGTGTAGAATTACCCCTATAGTTAATTACTGGCTTGAAACATTTTTGACTTTTACAGGGCATTATTTTAGCAGTGGCGAAGCCGAAGGCTAATCTGGGAGCCTTAGAATACCTAAATTATTATTCAACAAAATCTGCCGTTACGTGTGTCATTTTCAATAATTTTTTTCCCTAAATTGTTAAAAAATTAAATGTTTTCTACTCCTTTTCCCCGAAGGAATTAGCTGGGCCGGAAGCTGAGCTAATGGGTAGACACGGGCTGGCTCTGTCGCGAATGCGCACGAAGAGAGCGCACGCAAGCTCCTTTTCTCTCGTACTCACTGGGCAGGGACTAAACGCTGACATGTTCCGCGATGCACGTTTACTCCCATATCGTCTAAGCGGTTCACGATATCGATGTGCAATTTTCGCTCAACAATGCGGAGTCATGAGGCCAGTAATATGTCATAGAGGTAAAAATAGTATTGATGACGTATTAAATATGAAGTGTTGCAAAATGTATCAAATCAGACATGACCATGAATGAACGTTCAGGATCAGAATTATTTGAGACACACAATTGTTTCTTTTAAAATTATTGAAATAGTATGACTCAGATGGAATATAGGTTACAAGATTTCATTCTATGGAATTTCTTCACGAAAAACCGTTTTCCGCCTACAAAGCGTCCTTTCGTTCAAAAAAGTTTTCTTTATAAATAAATATCCATTCTTTGACAGCAAGCAGCTTCGAAATGAACTGAAAAATGTATGCATCGATAAGGCAAGATACATGCCTGCAGATTTGTTGCTGAAGATTTTGTTGATGGTCGAGAAAATGAATTATCAAGGGACGGTTCGGTTGATACAACTCAGTTTAACTTTCTCTGTATCTACAGCATTATGTGAAAAGAATGATTACATTAAAGAGAATGAAGACATTCTGAGAAATTCCATGGGAAACTTCAAGATCGGTAATTTCAGTACACAGTTTTTCGAGAAGTGTCTGCGAAATTAACTTAGTAGCTACGACAGCATTAAAGAACAAATTATCGACGTTGTAGTCGAACGAAAAAAACGGTGAATGGAGCTAATTTACAATTACAAAAACAAAACAAACAAAAAATCAATTACCCAACTGCATGATACGAGCTAGCTTCGTCACTATTTTAGTTATCTCCCTTATAATATTATGTTCAGTGCCCGTGAGTAATTACATTTTTGTTCAACTTTTATCAACCTATTAGCATATTTTGCGCAAAACATAAACATTTTAGATCTTATCAAAATATTATTTTGGGCAGGAGACATGCGAGTATCCGAGGACATTGTAAGAATAACTGCTCATTTTTGTCGATGTTTCGTGGTGAATAAAATGGTGTTTTGGATTGTATAATCAGCTGAAGATTTTGTGCGTAGTGCGTTTTGCTAGTGGTGGATGAAATTCGTTACTATGGATCAATATTGCTGTTCCGTAATGTGAGGTGAGACAGGCGTGCTGTTGTAGCCCCTAGTTCTGTACGTCTCGGTGTAAGGGGTACGTCTCGGTGTAAGCAGGAAATTCTTTGTATTTGAAACTTGTCTATTATTTGTAAATTGTTTCATGCCATTTTAAACATTGTTGTAAAGATTGATTTACATGAATAAGAGTAATGAATTTTTTTTTTTGACAGGTCTGGGTGGATCAAGTCGTCTGAAGGCAAGTGGGTGAAGGACCCTGCTGCTGAATTTGATTCTGACGAAGAGTCTCCTGAAGAGTCGGTGCAAAGTGGAAACGTGAACCCCTGAGGACACCATTTATTGTACGGATCCAACATTTACTGGATTTAATTCATTGAATGATGAGATAACATCAATATGTAGTGTGTTATCATTAATATTGTAATATGAATGCCAATGTACAGAATTCCATGTAACTTTCTATGTAAGATATTTTTACGATGTATTAAAAACATGCCTACCATTTAATAAAAAGAGTAAGTTTTGTAGGGGACACCGGGTCCATGTCATCAATGATTTTTCAATTTGCTTCATTTAAAGAACATACATTCGAATGAAAACTAATATGTTGTATTCATTTGGAGATTGAAGCTACTCGTATGTTGTATATACATCCTCAAGTATAAACTGTTAAAGATATATACTCTCTGCAACCTGCGAGGCAGCGCAAGACCTTCTCAGCCAGACGGTGCGCGAGCTAAAGATAGTCGTTTGCAGTCCTGTGTGAGCAGTGTAGGAAAATAAACGGTCTTCAACGGGTTTCGGATGCGCCGAACCGAGCCGAGGTAACTGTGGATTTGTGGTATAGTCCAGTCCAGGAGGTTGAATTCACCTGGATAACGGCGTTCGTTATATATTTTTACAGCGATACACCCAGTGTATCGCTTGAGTTCAAGGCATTACTCGATAGATTATTGGATGATGCAAAGAACGAAGGCCTCTTATTATTGCTGGGGGATTTTAATGCATGGGCCACTGAGTGGGACAGTAAGGTAACGAACCAACGTGAGATGGCTCTCCTCGACAGCCTTGCCCTGTTAGATCAATATCGCTGCAACACGGGTAGTGCTGCAGAATGGTCGCAGCTCCATCGTTGACTTGATATGATAACCTTGCTAGACGGCGTAGGAGGTTAACGATCACAATACTCAGCGGCCACCTACTTATTGTATATGAAGACAGAGATAATGTAGGTTGAGTTCTGCAAAGGATAAGAGAATATTGGAACCACAGGGCGTTCGATCGCGATTCTTTCGCTGCCATGGTGAAAGGCAACGTTATGCTGTTTGGAAACTGAGGATATGGTGAGAACTAATGAGCCTGGACTTTGACGCTTGTGATGCGTCAATGACGAAAAACCTCAGGAAAAACCTCCAGAGTATTGGTGGACTGACGAGATGGTGGAACATCGCAGAGAGTGCCAGCGCACAGTAAGTTGGCGCACTGCGGGTGGGGTCGCCCAAATTATGACACTCAAGAAGCGACATGGCTGCCAGAATAGCTTTCACAAAAGGACCATTAAGACTAGTAAGAATCTGTAATGGAGAGAGAGGTAAGCAACGAGGTGGATGCTGACCCTTGGGGTCGTCCTTATAAGGTGGTAACGACCAGGCACATTCCAGGCCACCCCCGACTTGGCCGGTCTTCTTGGAGAAGATTGTTGCTACCTTATTTCCTCACGAGAGGGATGTGTTACAGCCTACGGACACTCTTCAAGAGGTTCCACCGGTTTCATTAGACGAACTATCCAAGGCTTGCCATAAGGTTCAAGATTGCAACCCCCCGGCATGGATGGGGTGCCAAATGTTGCTATTAGGACTCGTCATCTAAGGCTAGAGGTGAAACAATTTTTTCACTAAATGTGAGGCTGATATTTTGTTTTGAGGAAATCTGAACCTCAAATAAAGAAAAAAATCAAACGTAATTTTTTAAAATTATAATTATTTAATTGTAATTATAAAAATCAAACAAATTATTTTTATTTATAATTATTTATAAACTATTTTTAACCAGTTCTTAAAAATGCATCGTCACAAACAAATCCGTGTACTTCAGTGACGCCCACAGAACAGTAACGCCGTCTGGAAAGCAAAACGGCGTTGACTTCACGGATGTGGGCTTTCATTCCGGATGGCGTTGACTTCTGCTATCCGTAGTACTTTGTCTCCGCCTGACCTCTAGCTATGTATGAGCATCCCTAGCTAGCCCAAAATAAATAAATTTAAAAAAACTGGCTGAGCTGCGTTACAGCATGAATATTGCAAGAATATCAATCAACTTCCCCGATGCTGTATCTTCATAATACTGAAGAAATATTTATTGAAAATTGTTTCTAAAACATCAAGAGCATTGTTTTTTATTTGATGTTCTGTAAATACTTGGGAAGTTACCTTTATACAAATAAATACGTTTCGTTTACAACTTCCCTTCTTATGGAAACGGAAGGATAAGGAAGAGAGTGGGATTTCACATGCTAGAGTTCTCACACGGGTACGCTAGTATATTTTAACTTCCTCTCGAATATAACTAAATATACAACAGGCAAAGTAGGATTGTTTAGCTATTTAAAAAAAATTTAAATCTAATGAATGTTGTCCGTTGAAATTGAATGTCATAAGAAATAACCATTTCTTCCTTATTAATATGTCTAGAAAGTGCTGATCTAAATCCAGCAAATTATATACCGAGCATCTGAAAGGAAAAAGTAATATTAATTTTATCGATGATATTTAATGCATTAATTACCATTTGGACTGTATTATACTAAACAACCTGTGTCAAGTATTGGACCTCAGCTTGTGGGTCAATGACCCTCATGTCGATCAGTCTTTCCGTCCAGTTTCCCTTATCCTTTGAGTAAATGCTGCAATGGCTCCTGTTTTGCTCCTGGACATAAATGTCACTTCATTATCTATGCACGTCTTCTCAAATTAAGTGGGAAATGTAGTTATTGAAATTATCGTTCTCAATGTTGTCGCGGCAGGAAGTAGTATTCCTTCACGAAAGACATGATGAGGAATAAGAACCCAAATCTATAGCTGATTAACCCTCGAAAATAAATGTCATTACATGGGAATGAATATTTTATTAACAATTCTTGCCGAAACAGCTATTTTTTCTGTATTCAGAATTTATCTTGTATACGGCGTGGGGTAGGGATCCCAGAATTAAGGAAACGTGCACAGAATATACTTCCCGTAGCACGTTACACACAGTTATTAACCGTTTAATATCAATACTCATTTTGAACCAACGAGCGCACTTTCCGGAGTCTGGCGTTCTCCCAGGCCTTGCACCATGTCACGCACTTCGCTCAATTACTGTATTTACTCTTTGGCTCTATGCTTCAACATATGGCCTTCGGTGCAGCAACCAGCCGTCTTCCGCGCGTGCGTGTGCCTGTGTGTGTGTGCGCGCGCGTGTGTGTGTAATGAGTGCAGTGCGGCGCGCAATTCCAATTTTCTGACATTGAAACTAGCTGTAACGTAATTTTAAGAATTTCGCTGAATTATTAGCGGACGTACACAAGTTCAATCTGTTATTGACGTTATTGAATGTATTATTTATGTTTCGAGAATTTGTTTCCATTTGATATTAGGTTTGATGAGTTCTTTGTGTTGGCCTGTTTTGGAAGGAAGTCCATTTCTTCCTCTCACGGTGGGTGTATATTACCGACTCCAGGTACAGCTGAGTAATAGTCTGAGAGCGTTGTTGTGAATATGAGTATTTGGAAGGACCTTTCATTATTACATTATATACCAGGGTAGTGAAATTGTGGAATTATAATTTTATTCGTAGAAGGCGACCAATTAATAGTGCTGGTTGCAAAGAGCTGGAATGCGATCACCGTATTTTCAAAATCAAAATCGTTTTTATAATTGTGTGAAGTCTATTACTGTCAATAATTGTCTCAGTGCATAACTAACACAAAAGCTCGAGTTCTCACTGGAAATCAAATCAGAACCATGTGCGCGGGAGGTGAGTACCGTTCATGTACACTACGCATAAAATTATGCAAGCAATGTTTCAATATTATGGTGGGAAGCTGTTGCTCCCGCCTACTGGGGTTTGCAGCATGCGTTGTCTCGTTCACTGCAACTTACCTGTCTTCATTGCTTTCCAGTAATTTTGAATATTGCTCTATAGGGAAATTATTGGGCGCCCGCAGGCAGCTACTTGAGCGGGGAACAATTCGCGTTAACGGATGCATCTCGAAGAACGTACGACATAAATACGTTTAAGTAAACACATTTACCATTATACCATGCTTACCATTATAAGAAATGCGAACACTGTCACAATAAATAATACACGTATGAGTAGATTATTTACTAAAAGTAAAAACAAATATTCATCAATTACTTGCTGCAAGAGTCATGGGATACGGTTTACAATACTGTTGATACAAACGATAAATACAATTATATTGTTTAACGCTTTCATTTCATTTTAAAACTTTCTTTCCTCTTCAAAAGATGAAAAGATAATGAAGAAAGAATTATGAAACATGACCAGGATATTTTGAACTTTCCAAAAAATTAAAAAAAAACCCAAAAAAGGGGGCCCAATGGTGGGAATATAGTAAATAATCGACAAAATCAACTAGAAACCTTGAGAAGAATGTGGTTTTAAAAGATAACGATAGAAATGTGAACGATCACGGCAACAGTGGCTAGCCTCTTTAATCCAATGCGTATTGTAAAGGAATAATCTCCAAAGTTTTAATAATTTTATTAACAATTTTCCAGAGTTAACTTTCGCGGAAAAAGTGTGGCAAAGCAACGTGGATCTCCCACGTTTTGGGAGATCCACGTTGCTTGAGCAAGATCCACTGAGGATGGGAACACTTTTTCCCGAAAGTTAACTCTGGAAAATTTTAATAAAATTATTAAAACTTTGTGGAGATTATTTCCTTTACAATACCATGGATTACCACAAGATATCCGCTACCACCACGGAATTTCTTTAACCAATACTTATCGAACATTGCTGCCGATCTCAGTAAGGGTCTGCAGCCACAAAATTCAGCATCAGACGTTTCCTCAAAAATTTCAGGCACGATGTTTGTTTCAAAACTTCTTGCCATGAAATTCTAAAAATAATCGGTAGACTAAAAACTAATATTCGGCCGGTTTCGATGAATATCCGGATTGTTTGTTGAAGGTTTGCGCGTCCGCTAACTCACACCTGTTAACTCACATATTTAATGTATCCTTTTGCTCAGGAATTTTTCCAGGTATTTTTGAAACAGCTAAGATTATGATTAAGCAACAAAAATGAAATTCAAAATTATCGGACAATCTCTCTTTTGTCGCTTTTTTCAAAAGTATTAGTGAGACTTTTTTACTTACGAATGGAAATATTTCTTAGTAAACACGACGCTTTTTCAGATTTCCAAGATAGGTTTCTAAAATCAAAATCTACGGAAACAGACATATTATTTTCTTAAAGATGTCGCATCAACCATAGAAGCACCTATTGGAATATTTTTAGATCTTTCAAAAGTCTTTGACATCATTGATCATAACATTTTACTCTCAAAATTACCTTCGTAT